TTAAGACAATATTATAGTAAAACATCAAAATACAATCATATTAGTATTGTAAACACTGAACTATTGACATTAAATATAAAAAAACTATGGTGCAGTACCAAGTTGAGTACAGCTGGGGGCAGTATTAGACAATTACAAGGCCCCATTGACTCCCATTATATGAATTTGGAATAAAGTTTAAACATTAATATTTCAAAAAACTACAAGTTGTACAGGTACCAAAAGGCATAGCCATCATTTGGCACAGGACCTTTACAGATGGAAATTACAATGGCAGCTGCAGGACAAAGTATGCAGGAGGAGAAGCATGGCAAAATTGAGATGACTTGGATGGGAAACGAATCACAATAGTGTGCATTGCATTGGCAATGTACACTGATTATGTTTCTTATCTTTAAAATAAACAGTTTGTTTTAAATAAAACTCTGGGCAGAGTAGAGAGCTGTGTTGTGATGGACAATTATAGCAGAAAAGATCCTTTAAAAGGTAACAAAAACCACAATAACACACATGGACTAATCTTACCGTAGTGTCTGGTTCTGATATCTTCCAGCCACCTTCATTAAGTCTCCAGATGTCTTCACCTGGCATGATGAAATGAAAGGATCGTTCCCACATTCTTCAGTGTTGATCTTTCCACACACYTTCAGGTAGAAGGTGTAACCCCCAGCTGCACTGCTGGGGTCAGAGAAGGCAAAGTACGGAAGGTCTGAGGCTAAATGAAAAAAAAAAATCACAAGAAATCATTCAGACATCTTTATATTTAACCAATTCAACTGTTTCACTCTCACAATTAAAACAATGAGACCATCAGATAAAAACTTTAGTACATTTTCACACAACAGTGTGGGAATAAACTTTTCAACCATGCTGAAGAATGATTCTAACATTTAGGACACAAGTAGAAAATAATGCATAGTTTGGGTCATATGGAGGAACCAAAACTGGCATCATTAAAAATATAAATGTATAACAGTACATGGCCCAATAAATAAATACATTTAAAATGCACCAATTAATTTAAAAAAGTTGTTTCATAACTTAAATGACATATTTATTTTCCAGCTTAGTTCCAACAAATTATATATTT